GTTGATGGTTACGAAAAGCAACGCTCGTAGGTTAAATTCCTCTTTTTTGTGCTCATCCCACACACGGACACCAGGTCTGCCCCACAGCTGTAAAAGTTCATCAACTAATGGCCTTAGGTACACATCGATGTCGTTGCCGGGTTGCTTCGGACCTTGGATGAGCACTGGCATCATAATGAACTTCCGCTTCATGCACAACCAAGGAGGAAGGTTGTAGATGCATAGAGTCACGGGCCAGGTGCTATGGCTGGAGCTCTGCTCGCCAAAAGGATTCATGCCATCTGTACTTAGACCAAATCTTATGTTCCTTGCGTCAGCTGCAAAATCTTTGAACTCTCTGTCGATCTTTCTCCATTGCGTTCCATCTGTGGTGTGTCTCAACTCCCCGTCCGACTTACGGTCCTCTTTGTGCCATCGCAACAACTTGGCATGCTCTTTTTTCCTGAACAGACGTTTCAACCGTGGTATTATAGGAGCATACCACATCACCTTGGCGAGAACCCTCTTCCTGGGTTTCCCGCCCTCAACATCGTCACCAGGGTCATCGCCTCTGATCTTATAACGCAATGCAGTGCATACCGGGCATTCATTCAAATTCTCGTATTCACCGCGGTAGAGGATGCAGTCGTTGATGCATGCATGTATCTTCAGAACCTCTAAACCTAGAGGGCAGACAACCTTCTTTGCTTCGTACGTACTGGCGGGCAACTCGTTATTCTTTGGAAACATATTCTTCAACATTTTCAGCAAGTTTTCAAATGCCGAGTCAGCTACACCTGCCTGTGCCTTCCATTTCAGCAAATCCAGTGTGCAGCCCAGCTTTTTCAGACCATCATCGCATCCAGGGTACAATGACTTTCTGTGATCCTCTAACATGCGATCCAAATTCTCCCTCTCCTTTTCAGTTTCGCAGCGTCTCCGTGCATCAGCAATGGTCCAACCAAGATCATCAACGGTCTCATCACGTGCCTCTTCTTCACCTTCACCTTCACCTTCCCCTTCACCTTCCCCTTTACCTGCCCCTTCACCTTCCCCTTCACCTTCAGCATCCTCCATGAAAGTATCACCGAAATGAGCAACATAGCTTTCATCGATGAAATCATCCCCTTCTTCATCTTCTTCCATTATAACCCCTCTTTCTCCATGCTTGGTCCAACAATTATAGCTTGGCATGAAACCGTGCCGAAGCAGGTGCAGGTGAACTTCTCTTGAGGAAGAGTAACCCTTCTGATTCTTACAGTCAACACATGGACAGATAACAAAACCCTTCTGCTTGTTCGCATTAGCCACTACGAGGAAATCTTTCAAACCCGTAGTGAACTCGCGGGAGAGTCGGTTACCGTACATCCATTGCCGATTCATCTGCATTATTATAATATAAAATATATAATTAACCATCATGCATTTGTTAAAGTAACTAGCTATAAACAATAGAAATTAAACAATGAACAACACACATGCATATTTTATCAATGACACACATGCATGAAAGGTTCAAGTTGCTAACCGCGATCGAGGAGGAACCTCAAGTGTGGCTCCAACACTTCATATCATGTTTGTTTCACGTTGTTGGGCATTTCATCAAACACCTTGTGTGCATAAGAGGAACCAAAAGCAAACCTACACCCCCTTGTGAAGAGAAGTGGCACCAAATGGCTAAGTGAGTGCGCTAAACTGGTATATATAGGGGAGGAGCTTTAGTCGCGGTTGGCCAGGCCAACCGCGACTAAAGGCCTTTGGGCACCTTTAGTCGCGGTTGGCCTGGCCAACCGCGACTAAAGCCCCTCACGTGCGCCAGCTGGCCACCGAGCGCCCTGGCCCAAGCCTTTGGTCGCGGTTCGTCTGCCGAACCGCGACTAAAGACTTCATTAGTCGCGGTTCCTACAGTTTCGCGACTAATGGGGCTGGACGGAAGCGTCTTTTTCTACCAGTGTCTATTGTTGTGGGTTTGGCAGTGTGATGGCCAATGGAACTGCATCCTCCACCAAGCCTTGATATGTGGTTTCATTCTCCTCCGAGCTATAAGCTAGGCCTATAAAATATGCTTAAACGTGGTTGTGTTGTTTCATATATGTAATTGTGTTACTATTTTCAGGAAATATTATGTACAAGCTATTTTTCTAATAAAAGTGGGAGGAGATTTTTATATATTACCTGTCTCAATGCATATCTCTCTGTCTTGACAAGATCCAAAAGTTGGCATCCCTTAGATATTGTATCCTATATCTACAAGATACATTGACTAATTGTGAATTTATCTTGTACATTTATTATTTTCTATCCAACATTAACCCTAAATACAAGAGGATTTTGCTTGGTTAATTATCCCCATTAATTATCATATCTTGTGGATTCGTTTTTATAACCAATTCGGTGGTCACGAGATGTAGTGAACGTGTCTAGGTTCATCCTCCCAATAAATTTCATATATTTTTAGGAGGCATTGATTATTATTATAAATAAATATATTATATTTCCTATTCTCTTTACTATTAAATGATATCCTCAATATTCAGATATTCAGTTTCAGTGGAATTTATTAGGAGAAGCACAAGCTTCATGCCATTGTATCTATACATATCGAGCATTTTCTTGGACCAAACACGGAGATACTGGTGAAAGGAGAATTGCATAGTGTTCTCTATCGCTCTTTGTGAGCTTAGACAATGGCAAATAATAGCATCCTCCAAGTCTTCATTGTTTTTCTCATCGCGCAAGCCTGCTTAGTCATGATGATGGCCACGCCAATAGTGCAGGCAGCCGGCAGGCTTATGGGACATGATCCACCCTGTTGCCCTAGGGACCCCTGGTGTTGTGGGTTCGGCCGCGTGATGGCCAATGGAACTGAATCCTCCACCAAGCCTTGATATGTGGTTTAATTCTCCTCCAAGCTATAAGCTATGTCCTACAAAATGTGCTTCAACGGTGGTTGTGTTTTCTTTTATGTAATTTGTGTTGCTAGTTTCAAGAAATGTTGTGTATAAACTATGTTGCTAATAAAAGTGGGAGGAGATTGCTATCTATCTTGCTTGCAATGTGCCGCAAAGAGATTCAAAAGTGTTTGCTGTAGTGTTTTTAGAGGATCATATCATCCTATATTTTAATGTTTAAAGACATGCTACGATCATAAAGGAACCATCGGTAGTTGATTTCAATTTATTACTAAACAAAAAAGTTTAGCCATCACATAGAGTAGCAATTTGTTGCAGACATGGACCGAATACCACATTAATTCATTTGTGCCATTGCATCACAGCATAACTGATGCAGAACCACGGAGCTAGTGTTATCGGCACAAGGTTTTTTTTTGGCAGCCCGACGCTGATGTATTTGCTGGACCGTGTCAAAAAATCGTCCAAGAGTCGAGCAACTTAACCTCATGCATGTCCCCGCTCTCGGCCCTCGCCAAAGAAATCTTACTCAACCGAGCTTGTAAAACTACCATCCGCAGAACAAAAAAAAGAGCTTGTAAAACTACAAAGAGTCGAGCAACTTGCTAATCTATGGGAACACGACCGTCCGGCCGATTGTTTCATGGCAATGAGAGGGGGTGGAACTTCACTCATGTGTCACCATTCAAAGGATCTCATCAGCGCCAGTTCCATCAGGCTGTCCTCCAGACACGAGTGAGACACCTTGGAGTGATGAGAACGAGTAGAGCATGCACATCAGACCTTGGAGAAAATGCTCGGGTCGGGCGCGTTCGTTGTGTGTCAAACCTTGGACAGGGGTGCGCGTGTCCTAGTGCTGGTGGTGTGTTTATTGTGTAAGATTTGATCTGGTGGAAGCGTTCGTACTTCCGATGGGAGCCGCGTTGCGTTTATTTATGAGAGACAGGAAAAAACCTGCCGTGGCATACAAGCTTAGGACGATCGCTAGGATACATCGATGAGGAGACAAAGAAGGATACGAGTGAAGTTCAGATAGAGGGGTTTAGATTACAACAGGTTTAAACAGAATTCTAACACCCTCCCTTAATCTAAACTACCCTACATTCAAATTTCTCTTGAAATTCCTCAAATGGCCTTGCTGAAAGAGCTTTAGTAAATCCATCTGCCAATTGATCCTTGGATGGAATGAACCGTATCTCTAACTTTTTCTCAGCAACTCTTTCTCGTACAAAGTGAAAATCTATCTCAATGTGCTTGGTTCTACCATGAAAAACTGGATTAGCAGACAGATAAGTAGCACCCAAATTGTCACACCATAAACAAGATGTACGATGTTGCTTAATCCCTAGCTCATGAAGCAATGATTCCACCCAAATAATTTCAGCAGTTGCATTTGCAAGAGATTTATACTCAGCCTCTGTACTTGACCTTGACACTGTGGCTTGCTTTCTGGCACTCCAAGAAATAAGATTTGACCCAAAGAACACTACAAATCCTCCAGTCGACTTTCTGTCATCACTACATCCTGCCCAGTCAGCATCAGAAAAAGCACTAACAAGTGTAGAATTCGAACGCTTGAACTGAAGTCCCAAACTCACAGTGTGCTTGATATATCTTATAATTCTTTTGACAGACGTCCAATGAGTGGAGCTAGGAGCATGAAAATATTGACAAACCTTGTTTACAACAAATGATATGTCTGGCCGTGTCAAGGTTAAATATTGTAAAGCTCCAACAGCACTTCTATACTTTGTACTTTCCTGTTCATTAAGTGGTTCTCCTTGATATGCCGAAAGTTGTTCTGAAGAAGACAATGGCGTGGGTGAAGGCTTACAATCCTTCATTCCCATACGAGTCAGAAGCTTAGTAGCATATTTTTCCTGATTTAACATTATGCCATCTTGAGTCTTCTTAACTTCAATGCTTAAGAAAAAATGTAAGTCACCTAGATCCTTCAATGCAAACTCTGAACCCAAATCATGCAAGAGAGCATTAGTAGCATTCTGTGATGAGCTTGCAACTATGATGTCATCAACATATATGAGCACAAAAACCACTGTGTTTGCCTTATTATAAATAAAGAGAGATGTATCTGCTTTGGATGGAACAAATCCAAGATGCTTCAATTGTAAACTTAACCTGGAGAACCATGCTCTAGGTGACTGTTTCAAACCATAAAGAGCCTTATCAAGTTTGCAAACATAATGAGGTGTTTGTTTATTCTCATACCCTGGTGGTTGCCTCATATAGACCTCCTCTTTCAGAACACCATGCAAAAACGCGTTCTGAACATCTAGCTGTCTAAGACTCCATCCTTTTGAAACAGCAATGGCTAGCACAAGTCTTATAGTAGCAGCTTTAACAACCGGACTAAATGTATCCTCGTAGTCAATACCATATCGTTGCTTAAACCCTTTTGCAACTAGACGTGCCTTGTACCTATCAATGGAGCCATCTGCCTTTCTTTTTATTCTATAAACCCATTTGCAATCAATAATATTTTTACCTCTCTGATTCGGTACCAAGTGCCATGTCTTGTTCTTCATGAGTGCACCATATTCTTCATCCATAGCTCTTTTCCACCTAGGATCTCTAAATGCATCATCTAATTTTGCCGGTTCACCTGAAATACACAACATGCCATATGATATTGCGCCATCCGTTCTCTTTTTAGGATTTCTAATACCTTTTTGAAGTCGAGTCATGACTCGTGTAGCATCAGGTTGTGGCCGTGCTGAATTCTGCGCAGAACATGAACAGATTGGCTAGATACAGAAGATCCCGGAGAGCTCTCAGAACTTGCCGCAGACGATCCAGTGGCCTCTGGTGTGGCGGCCGTTTCTTCTGTGGTCGCAGAGTCGGCAGCTGCATCTGATCCGAACCCTGGCGCGGTCTGCTGCATGTGAGAGGAGCGCTCCGCAGCGATTGGCTGCATGCGTCGCAGCTGCATGCGCCCGCGCCTGCGCCCCTGACTGGCGGGCTCCTGATCCGAGGCAGATACGCGCCCGTGATCCAAGGAGGATTCCCGCACGGGCGTAGAAGGCGCCGCCAGATCGCCCTCGAATATTGCGCCTGCTCCCTCTTCTCCTGGCACATGAAATAACGGAGCGTTTTGATCAATTTGAACACCGTTTTCTGCCCCGTTTTCTTTAGAGACCTGCACACGTACAGAAGAAGCACTGTTTCCAGGAACATTATCATGGTGGTTAGTACAATTGTTATATCCCCCTTGATCAAAACTAGGAGACATGGATGGAAGGAGAAGTATTTCTTGACGAAGGAGGGCACCGGCATTGGGATGAAGAGATGCAAAAGGAAATACTGACTCGTCAAACACAACGTCTCTGGAGATATATACTCGCCCCGTAGAGATGTCAAGACACTTGACTCCTTTGTGCATAGGGCTATAGCCTATGAAAGCACATTTTTTTGAACGGAACGCAAGTTTGCGTGTGTTATAAGGCCGAAGGTTGGGCCAACAAGCACATCCGAAAACTCTAAGAGACTTGTAATCTGGTGAAATACCAAAAAGACGAGTAATGGGATTCTCAAAGTTGATGACTTTGCTAGGACGAATATTTATGAGATATGTGGCATTAAGAAAAGCTTCATTCCAAAATTTTAGAGGCATGGAGGCGTTTGCTAGCAATGCTAGTCCAACTTCAACAATATGGTGGTGCTTGCGTTCAGCAGACCCATTTTCTTGGTGAGCATGGGGACATGAGACATGATGAGAAATTTCAATATTTTGAAAGAAAGAATTTAGTTTCTCATACTCACCATCCTAGTCGGTTTGCATGGCGAGAATTTTGGAATTCAATTGTCGTTCAACAAGGTTCTAAAAATTGCTAAAGACTTGAAAAACATCGGATCGTTTCTTTAGCAAATAAATCCAGGTAAACTTACTATAATCATCAATAAAGCTCACATAGTATGAAAATTTTCCAACTGAGGTAGGGGTTGGTCCCCATACATCTGAGGAAACAAGTTGCAATGGAGAAGTGGAAATACTAGTAGAGATAGGATAGGGTAACTGATGACTCTTAGCTTGTTGACAAGCATCACAAACTGACTCAGAACTAGGCTCATAAGAGAGCTTATTTTTACTAAGGACATGCTGAACTATAACTGAAGAAGGATGACCCAAACGACTATGCCACTTTGCCGAAGATGGTTTGGTGACACTCCAAGCTTGTTTATTTGACCATGATGAAGATGATGATATGAGTGGATATAAGCGTCCCTCACACTTTCCTCTAAGGATGATTCTACTCGTTGCCAAGTCCTTGACCACAAAAGAGTAAGGGTAAAAAGTTATGAGAACATTATTGTCGAGGGTAAAGCGATGAACAGAGACAAGATTCTTGGATGTATCAGGGACATGTAGAACATTGTTTAGATGCAAGTCTTTTAAGGGGGTTTTAACAATTGAATTTCCAATATGGGTAATGTCCATACCTGAACCACTTGCCGTGTGCACTTGGTCACCTCCGTGGTATCTTTCCCTCATCGTCAACTTGTCAAGCTCCCCTGTAATGTGCTCCGTAGCGCCAGAGTCCGCGTACCAGTTGGTGTCAATCCCGTAGGAGTTTGTGACAATGTTGGCCTTCTTTTCTTTGTGATCCTCATCATACCGATGCCAGCAGGTCCTTGCGCCGCCGGGGTGATGCTTGTAGCAGATCTGGCATTCGGGATAATCCCGTTCTTGCTATTGTGGCTGCTGTAGTTGTTGTCGTGGGTGTTGCTGATGGCCGCCGTAGCCGCCACCGCGAGCAGAAGAATAGGAGGGGCGGTCACCGTGATCACCACGGCCACGCCCCCTGTTTCCTCGCCCACAGCCACCTCTTGGTCTGTACTGCCCACGCCCTTTGTAAATAGCATTGGCAGAGGAGCGAAAGCCGCCTGGTCCATCTCCTAGCATCTCCATCCTCTGGTCGAAGGCAGAGATCTGCGAGAAGAGATCATCAACCGTAATAGAACTCTTGATGGTGCCAACTGCTGCTACAATTGGATCATAATCCGATCGAGTCCAGCCAGGATGTAATCCACCATCTCTCCATCGGTTACTGGACGACCCGCTGCAGCGAGTTCATCACCGAGGCTCTTCATCTTGGCGATGAACGCATTACTGGACATGTTGCCCTTCTTGGTGTTGGAGATTGCAATCCTCAGATTTGTTATCCGAGACTAAGACTGACAGCGAACAAGGTAGTAAGGGCAATCCAAAGATCATGGGTATTCTCCTTACCGATGACTTGTGCGAGAATCTCCGGGGTCAACGAATTGAGCAAGTAGCTCAGGACCTGCTGGTCCTTTGACAGCCACGGACCATATAGAGGATTAGATTCTATGGCAGTGGTCTTGTCCGCCTTGGTGACTTCCACCATCTTCAGTGGTGCGGCGTCGCTGCCATCAAGGAGGCCGGTCACTTGCGCTCCACGCAATGCCGGCATTACTTGTGCCTTCCACAGGAGGTAATTCCCCCTTGCAAGCTTTTCTGTTGGAGGTGTGCCGAGGTTGAGGATGACGGCGCTTGAGCTTGCGGCCATGGCGAAGATAGGGTTTCTGGTTTCTGTGTTGCTAGATAGAAGGGAAGAAGCTAGCTCTGATACCATGTAAGATTTGATCTGGTGGAAGCGTTCCTACTCCCGATGGAAGCCGCGTTGCGTTTATTTATGAGAGACATGAAAAACCCCCGCCGTGGCATACAAGCTTACGACGATCGCTAGGATACATCGATGAGGAGACAGAGAAGGATACGAGAGAAGTTCAGATAGAGGGGTTTAGATTACAACAGGTTTAAACAGAATTCTAACATATTGAGGTTCCTGGTCAAGCTCTGGTTTACTTTCCTCGTGCATAGTCATCGGTGTTGTTTGAGATGGGCGCGGTGTGATGCATAGGAATCTTCGGGTGTAGTTTAAAGCCTCCGATACTGCACAACCTTCAGATAAGGCATCCATTGCCAGAGGATCAGCAGCATGCTCATACCATCTCCCCTGTGCTTGAATCAATCTCCCTGCATGGTCATGTACATATATACATGTAGGCCCTGACATACGGAAGGTTGCACCAATCCACTACTCTCTCCACGCCACCTTATTATTGCTCTAAAATCATGGAAGCAACTTTTTGTGACCACTAACACCTAAACCAGATTAATAAGCCATGAACTCGAATGTAGAGCTGGAACTTGGTCGTTGTTCAGTCTTCAACTCCAACCAAAACAACTTTGCCCAGGTGCATTCAAAGAAGGCATGTGTGCCATAGTTTCCTTCCTCTACTCCGCACGGTTCGTAGAACTCAATCCACTCAATGTATCTATCTCGTAGGATCGTCCGGCATAGAACATATTTGTGGATCACCCTCAACGAGAAGTTACAAGCTTTCGGTAGCACCGCTAGCTTGCAGAGCCATTATCCAGCACTTGTTCACCCTCTCCCCTGAAGCTCGAGGTCCTACCATTATCCACACTTCTTGCCATGCCTCCAACGTTCTGTACGCAGATCGTACGGTGAACTTTCCAAATTTCTTGAGATCCCAAGCCCACCTAACCTCACAAAAATTCTCAACTGGCATCTGCATATAGCATCCACATCAGGTGCAGCAAAATTCGCCTCAATCACCTCCATGATCAACAGTTCAAGTGCTCTGAGTTCATGTACAGCTTAAAATCTTCCCAAACTCTGATTGAAGCTCCATCGCCCACGTATGCGACGACTTCGTTTCTTCGCGGTTTGTCTGCAGTATGTGGAGGTGATAAGCCATGTCCTGGAGACCGTAGACCACATCCGGACGAAGACGTCTTGATCGACGTCTTGCGACGCAAAGAAATCATGGACATCAGAAACCCACATAGACGGCAGCCACATCCTCAAGGTGGAGAGAGACCTATCACCTTTGATGATTCGGAGGAAACCTCTCACCGTGCTATGCCACCCAAGACAAGCACATCCCTAATTCGACGTGTTAATAGTTCATGTTGGATGTATGGCCTCTCTGAATCAGGCTTGTCGATGGCAATTCTTCTTCTTTGGTGTGCACTAGAGGCTGGGGCGCCGCCTAGTGGCGCCTCCTAAGGTGTGCCTGTGCGCACTTATCTTGTTTGTGCACATTCACCTGTCTGCCTAAGTTTTAGTTTAGTTGGGGCGGTGCTAGGTGAAAGGCGCCCCTTTCTATTTGTTGTTTGCAATTTATGCCCAACTGCAAAGAAGCAATGCTAGCCTGCTCTCAACATATTATTATAACAAAGCTTAATCGCCTCAGTCAAAAGTGTTAATTTGGTACAAGAAAAAGAGCGGACAGAAAAATCCCCGCCAAAGCCACGAAGATTAAAATACGGTGCTAGCTACTGGAAAAAATTGAGGTAAATGATATAGCTACAACAAGTAAAGATCTTCTAGAATAGCCTTCCGTAAGACTACTTGACTACTTGTAGACTTTCAATTAAGAATACTTGACTACTTGTTGACTGGTTTTTTTACTGTCAAATGTAGGAGACAGTAACATTTGCACCCTTTTGTAAAGGGTTACCTCCTTCAGGAGTTTTACAATAGTTCCACCAACTGGATCATTTTTGCATTTTTGTCAATCCCAGCAATCTTCATAGCTAGTCAATTGATTACTCCCATGTGACCATCCATCCATAAGAGACAGACATGCAATTGGAAAGCTTTATGAAAAAGGTCAAACTCACAAAATTGAAAACACACTGCATTATCAGGAGATATATCATCTAACCAAGCAGCATTGGGGAAATCACCACCCCAAATATCATTTTTCCAACATCTACCCACTGCCCATGATGCTTACCTGTTTAGAGAAGAAGTCTCAAGTAATGCTTATCTGTTGTGGTACTAAACAAGAAGATGATAAAAAATAGGAAGAGATTGTAGGTTGTGGTACTAAACAAGAAGATGATAAAAAATAGGAAGAGATCGTAGGTTGGTACCCAATGCATCATTATAAAGCTTTACTAAACAACGGGAACAATTCCTAGGAACAATGTACAGAGCTAGGGACAATGAAAAAACCTCACGCACAAGAGTAAATTAAACATAAGCACAACACGCTTGAAATAGACATATACTAATTTGTCAAAGTCGAAATATCTATTGTTTTCGTCCAATACTACCAACAAGCTAAGCTAGATGGGGCTATATTGGAACACCATGAAGCATCAAATGTACAGTGTCAAGTAATACACATACATTGCCAGGTTCAACAACTAACCAAAAACACAGTAGTAATCAACACATACATCTTCTCTTACAAAACATGGTAAAGCAATTGACGGGACTTGAGAATTCAATCATCTCTGTACACGGGTGGGAAGAGTCAACTTGTGCCCAAACATGAAGGGTTGTTTAAGAATATCATTTTCATCACAACGTATCATACACACACACACAGTAAGTGACAAACATTATCTTCCAGGAGAGTGCAGCAAGGCAAGGGAGCGAAGCCCGACGGACCTATTTGGAACAAGGATTGTGATGACCTCTGCAAGATCGACGCCGTCCGGCAGCTTCAGCTCCCTCATCACCTGCACAGTCAAACACATACTCGTTTGTGCAGATCCACTTGCCAGAATTGCAATATCTCATCCTTCTGACCTCCTCAGCCTCATATTTCCTGCTACCATGTGTACACCCAGAGAAGGCAAGTATGTCCATCTCATACCGCAAGTGGAGAACCACAAAAGGGTCCATTCCGACGAAGAATTTGAACCAGACGCCTGCCCAACTCTTCTATTTCAGGGGTAAATCCAAGTGCATGAAAACTGAAATGGCACCTCGGTTTCTGAATCTCCGTGGGTAGCCCATTATTTTCAAGCCGTGCACGTGTTTTATTCATATGAAGGACCATGTACTTCTTTATCATTGGTAAAATATGTTTTCCCATAAATTACTACTTACAATATTTATTTGGGTACGCATATGATTTAGATACATCACGAGAAATGGAGAGATGCAAAGAAACCTGATTATGGTAATAGGATGTATCAGACCAACTAAAGGGTGAAAAGGAGCAAAGATATCCCTATTCAACTCTCCTTTTCAGCCTTGGAGGCAGCTCTTCCAGTATCAGGACCTCATCTCTCAATGATGCTATGAAGTAGTCTACATCAAATATATCTCGAAAATCACTGTAAGGAAAGGAAGAGAAAGGGGTAAGACAAAGGCAGTCCTTAACTGAAATGTTAAGAATTGCATTGACTGTAGAAAGAAATGCTAAACTGGGCAACCCAAAATGAAGTTTTATCCATGTACGGCACGATGATTGTGACATTCCAGTATCTTGCAACCGTCACCATGTCGCATACTGATTTAACAGTGAACCTTTCATGGTTCAGTTTTTTAGATCAAATGGCAGCACCGACTGCAACAGGGCTAGAATTAGTATTCAACTACACATGAAACACACACAAGTTAATCGAGATATTGATATGAACTGTTCACATCAAATACAGCATGGTTGCCTAAGCTCTAAGGCAGCCAGGTTGATGGCGCCCTTGCTGGCTGCATCGATGGATCCGGAGGCCTGCTATGTATTTTGTGACTAAGAATCCTCGTTTCCAGCATTCAACAACCCGAGAAAACTATCATCCATGTAGAACAAAGCTATACAAGCAACAATTCCTCCTCATGTTCATTGACAGAATGTATCTGTCTACAAGAAGGAATGCACATACTTCCTAGAAGGTGTACATATAAAAGGATTTTCAATAGAAAAATCTTTCACAAAACACACTCGATCCATGATAATTCAGGCCATGGCAGCTAATTTCCGATTTAAGAGTTAATTGTAAAATTTCTGAGTTTGAAGTGTTGAGGAACAATTTTTAAAATAAAAATATAAAAGAAATTAGCACTGTATACATTGCAATTCTTTGAATAAACGCTATTTCACACAACTCTTAAGAATGCTATTTAAACCCAATGCCTCATAGCAGACCCCAAAAGTAACAGTTCAGATAATGTACTAAACCAAAATATATTCAGATTCAAGTCTATGAAAATGAAGATTAAATTATACCTGCATGTTTATAGCTGGAAATTAGGTGACATTGGTTCAAATACATAACATTGCTGATTGGTCTGTAATTATCTATCAGAAGATTTAGATTAGCCAATTTGAAGTAAGCATCCAAGACAATATCCTCTGGATAAACATGTGTTGCACTACTTTCTGTTGCAAGATAAGTAGGTTCTTGCACCTCCTTCACGCAAAATGTATTATGTGATTCTTTGGCGTGTGAGTTAGATCACGGTAGAGTAGATAGAGATGCTGGGCACATAGCATATTCCACATATGCCAGTCTGAGAACTATGCAAGCCCTCTTGCATTCATCCAAGAAAACAAGTGCACATACTTATTTTTGCAATTTTGCAACAAATTGTTTTTATGAAAGGATAACCGGATACTGGGATTAGCACTATAACATTATGGCTATCATTCTACAAGTAATTTAATTTCCCTTGGGGCAATTGCATAGCTACGTAACAATTAGTGAAGCGCAATATCATGTATCTACGGGTGCTAGGCTATCCCATGCCCAACCACTCACAGTAATCCTCGCTCGAAAGCACTGAATCGAACAACCCAAACAAATCAACACATCTGGAGATCGACAGGGGGAGGAAGGGGGAGCAAGCGGTTGTACTTACCCTGCCCTTGGGTAGGATGAGCTGCAGGCGGCGGGGGCAGTGATGACCTGGGCGACCTCGGCCAGCAGCAGCGACCTGCCATTTGGGCAAGGTCGACAACGAGGATGCGGGCGCCGGGAACGACCTCCTCTGGGCGTGGCTGCTCCCCCTCCTCGCCTCCAAACGTAACTTGACCAGCTGCCCAGGCGGGGCTAGCCCCCTTTTGCGGCGAGGCCGACGTCAGCGAGGGGACGTGGCTGCGCACGCCCATGGAGACGCCTCCCTGCGCGTGGAGCTCGTTAGGCGGCGCTGCTCAAAATACCGCCGGCACGACCATCTCCATCTCGAGCTTCCTGCGACTTCCTCAGACGGGAGCTCGCGGCGCCGCCAGCCTCGCGCTAGCACCACCATCGCCGGCTCTCAATTTGCGGCCATCGAAGGACGAGACCAGAGGGGAGAAGGCGAGGGATGGTGGGTGGAGGCGGCACACATGGCAAGGAGGAGACGAGTGTGGCGGAAGAGGCGGCGGCTGGTGGGAGGAGGCGACAAGAGAGAGAAGGGAATTGGAGGAGGAGGCGGAACCCTAGCCGCCACTCGAGGAGAAGACGAGAAAGAGATTTTTTTTTCGAAGATGAGAGAGAGGTGGGACGTATTTACCTTGGGGAGGTGTTATCCTGGGGTAGTCTGCGACGGTAAAATCACCAACGTGGCATAGCTCAGATAGCTCCTTTGATGCACACCTTATTGTTTTGGATGTGCCTAGGGGGTAGCTTTTGAACGTGAATCTAATAGCATTGATGAATAAATATTGTAAGCTGGTGGTGAATAAAATTTTCAGGAGGACGGGAGTTTAGTTTTTGCCTTGTTGTCTAATATAATTGGTCAGACTGTTATTGCTTTCTAATTTGAGGTGCCGCTTGGCTGATAGATGTCGTAATTTTGTTTTAGAAGCAAAATATAACTGATCGGGTTTGACCATTTGAGTATCAGGTTGCTAAAAGGGGAAGACCCTCACAAATCAGCATAATTTCAGAGGAAAAAAATAAGTTCGCTTTCTGTGTTTGTTTTATCACATCTGGCACTCCCTTTGTTCACAAATATGTTCCGTGTATTTCAATATGAACTACAATAATACGATGAACTTCACTGCACATAAAGGATGGCACCATATAATGAGAACAGATTCGGATTACAATATCCAGATAACATGTCGCTTCTTTACGGTAACGAGGACGACGAATCACTCAGCTTATAAGGCAAGCAGCAGTCCACACTTCTATTACTCCCTCCGATTCAAATTAGTTGACGCACATTTGGTACAACTGTAGTACTCTCTTCGTAAAAAATTATAAGTGCGCTTAGATCACAAACGCTTTTATATTTCTTTACGGAGGGAGTACAAAGTTGTACCAAGTCTGCGCCAATTAATTCGGATCAGCGGGAGTAGTAGTTTTACACTCTACATTGGGTGAATTTCTTGAAGGAGAACACCTTTTATTGGCCAAAGGTCTAGAAACTGAACTTTTCTTTAAGAGAAATGCACCCTGTTGAAACAAGTCAGGCTACAAGAAGGGCAGTTCCTTCACATTCAACCAGTAAGAAATTTACTCTGATAACACACAGAACATAGGCTTCAAACATTGGGCTAGATAAGATAACTAGCTACTAACTCCAAGGATATCAGCAAACATCTCTTTCCATCCATCCCAATCCAGATACATCCAAGTGGCAAGCATTGTAGGCAGTCCATATACCAGGCAATTATTGAATCTTTCTCTCCAACGACAGAAGCGCCTAGAGAGGAGATTACCAAAAAAAAAAATATACATCAATTTAGATAAAATAGGGAGAGCAGATAAATCTGTATATGTAATTTCGTGGATCATACTAGAGGGCATCACTGGGATTAGGCTCAATGTGTCCAAAAAGATGATGAATAAGCTCTCTATTATCTCGGAAGTACTTATTATGCGAGGGGAATCTACTATCAAGCTCAGCGAGCAAGTAGAAGAGGTCGTGCTTCTTGGTCTCAATTTCTGCTATTTGACGATGGCCCCATGCTCTCTTGGCGTCGAGGTCAAGCGCAGGTTTTGCATTCGGTTGCTGTCAACAGAAAATGAGGGTTATAGGCATCAAGCTATACTACTCCCTCTGACTTCAGAAAGAAGGCATGTCATATTGTCTGAAGCAGATTTGCAGGAAAATTTATCAACAACTACAATACTAAATACAAACGATATGAAAAAATATTTCATTGTGTCTGCCAATGTTTTTTTGGTTGATCTGTCATGTTTTTGGGGCTAATCACTTGGAGATTTGACCAATTAGCAAGGCAGTAAGCAATGGTTGTTAGATCCAGCATGGAGTGGATAATTTGCAATTTTACTCACTAGTAGAAAACAGGGCTTTGGTCCAGGCCGGGTCAGCCCATTAGTCCCGGTTCAGTCCAGAACCGGGACCAATGTGGGCATTGGTCCCGGTTCGTGAGCCCAGGGGGCCGGCCGGGCCACGTGGGCCATTGGTCCCGGTTCATCTGGACCTTTTGGTCCCGGTTGGTGGGATGAACCGGGACCAATGGGCCTCGCTCCTGGCCCACCATCATTGGTCTCGGTTGGTGGCTTGAACCGGGACCAAAGGCTCCCCTTTAGTTCCGGCTCATGTCACCAACCGGGAACAATGAGGTGCCTATATATACCCCCTGCTCGCGAGCAGAGCACCCCAGTGCTCTGTTTTTCTCTGGCCGAGGGGGAGAGGGCTTGGTGGTGCTCTAGCTCACCTCCTATGCACACAAGGTGTTCGATGGAATGCTCGAGCCACACTACTTAAGCTTTCTCCTCTCCAAGCTCGACCTCCAAGCTCCATTTTCCATAATATTTGTCTAGGTTTAGCGGTCCGTCACGCCCCTTCCCCGTCTTCACCGCCGTCGATCACCCGTGCCGAGCTCATCGCCGGCACCACCGTGGTGAGCCTCTTATTTTATCTTTTTTCTGAAAGGAAAAATATTCTTACTTGTATGTTTACATATATACTTGTATTATTTTCTTACTTTTATTATCGCATTTTATATAGTACGATGGTTTTGGTATCCGCCCCCGTCGGCCCTCGTCCTGTCTATGATTCGGATGTGGTATATATATTATCTTTATAACTATTGATTCATTTATTGTTTATGAAAATTATGCCGACCAACGTGACATAGATTTTATTTATGTAGGATGTATGTGAATCTGAAATGCCAACCGACCCTATTGTCGAGAGGTTAAATTTAGTTGAAGAAGAAAACAATTTTTTGAAGGAAAAAATAAAAAAATTGAGGATGAGAAGATGATATTGGAGTTGCATGTTGCGGATGTCGTCGATGATCACAAGATCAAGATGGATGCAATGCGCTTGAAGATTAGAAAGATTAGAAAATATGTCATTCATACCGAAGCTTGGTATCATTATGCCATTGGATCAATTGTTACCTTGGTTGCGATTATGATCGCATTTGTTTTCGCATTGAAATGTTTTACATAGTTTCAATGTATGGTTTAATTAATTAGATGCTCTGGAGAGCTATATGTTGTTAGATGAGAACTATGTATGCACTTTGGTTTTAATGTGATGATGAACTTCTATTAATTTGGACACTTAATTATATATAATGCACGCAGATGAACCGGCA